CATAAGTATAATCCAATTATGTTCATCTTTGGTAACCGGATTGTTATGCACTCAGATTTGAATCATCTTTACAACAAGCATTGGGTGATCCTATTTTGTTTCCCCAACAGAGTTTGTTTCGTTTACCACCTGTTGGGTCTTTGGTATCTTCCATTTCCCCAGTAAGCCGTGGTTTTCTCTTGCCCTTGCAAGGCATTGGTTATTTTACCCGTGTTCGCCTATGCGATTAGAGTACAAGTAAAAGTTCTTGTGCCTTTGGCCTGAGGGGTAATGTAGTTCTTGTGATTTTGCAAACATCAATACCCTCTCAAAAGCCAATGTGTTTTGGAAATCCTTGTTAGAGTCCCCTTCAGTTGGTCTCGTTCTCTTGTAGAGTTCACCTTCTTTCAGTGCTCTATGAAGGTCCTGCTTAGTTGCTTTCTTGTTTTTGGTTTATCCGCGTTAGTTGGGTCCTCCTTTCGTTAGCTTAGCTAACCTTTTCTATTAAGAGTCCTTCAATGTCTCTCTTCAAAGTCAAGTTGTTTGGCATCCTTGTTTAGGCGAATGTGTCCTTTCTTGTTGGGGCTTTCTACGGTTAGTCTCTTTCTTGTGTTCTCTATCAAGTCCGAACCTTTATTTCTTGATGCTCAATTTCGCTTTTGTGTGTCTAACTCTGACATGACATGCATATCTTTATCCCCTATGAGTTTGCCTTTGATCGGCGTTCTTTCCAAAAGAAACAACCTTCGACATAGTATTCCTTGATAAAGATTCCCCTTCGGCTGGTTTCTTTATCCTTAAAACCATCTTCGGCTGGTACCTTTTGTTAAGAGTCCCTTTTGGCTGGTCTTTATTCATTTGTAAGTTCGCCTTTAATTGACGTTCTTTTCTTAAGAATCTACCTTCGGCATATTATTCCTTGTTAAAGATTCTCCTTCAGTTGGTTTCTTTATCTTGAAGTCCTTCTTCGGCTGGCACCCTTTAAATCCACCATCGGCTGGTATCTTTAGTTAAGAGCCCCATTTGGCTGGTCTCTTTTCATTTGTAAGTTCGCCTTTGATTGACGTTATTTTCTTATGAATCTACCTTCGGCATAGTATTCCTTGTTAAAGATTCCCCTTCGGCTGGTTTCTTTATCTTGAAGTCTATCTTCGGCTCGCACCCTATAAATCCACCTTGGGCTAGTACCTTTAGTTAAGAGTCCCCTTCGGCTGGTCTCTTTTAATTTATAAGTCCGCCTTTGATTAGCGTTCTTTTCTTAGGAATCTATCTTTGGAATAGTATTCCTTTTTAAAGATTCCCCTTCGGCAGGTTTCTTTATCTTGAAGTCCACCTTCGGATGGCATCCTTGAAATCCACCTTCGGCTGGTACCTTTTGCTAAGAGTCCCCTTCGGTCGGTCTCTTTTCATTTGTGAGTTCGTCTTTAATTGGCGTTCTTTTCTTAGGAATCTACCTTCGGTATTGTATTCCTTGTTAAAGATTCCCCTTCGGGTGGTTTCTTTATCTTGAAGTCCATCTTCGACTGGAACCCTTTAAATCCACCTTTGGCTGGTACCTTTTGTTAATAGTCCCCTTCGGCTGGTTTCTTTTCATTTTTAAGTTCGCCTTTGATTTTCCTTCTTTTCTTAGGAATCTACCTTCGGCATAATATTCCTTGTTAAAGATTCCCCTTTGGTGTGTTTCTTTATCTTGAAGTCCACCTTCGGCTGGCACCCTTTAAATCCACCTTCGGTTGGTACCTTTTGTTAGAAGTCCCCTTTGACTGGCCTCTTTTCCTTGTAAGTTTGCTCTTGATCGGCATTCTTCACCCTTTAAAATATACCTTTGTATGGTACCTTTTGTTAGGAGTCCCCTTCGGCTGGTCTCTTTTCTTTGTAAGGTTTTCCCTTGATCAACATTCTTCTCCCTTTAAAATCCACCTTCGATTGATACATTTTGTTAAGAGTCCCCTTCGACTGGTCTCTTTTCCTTGTAAGTTTTCCCTTGATCGACATTTTTCTCCCTTTAAAATCCCCCTTTGGCTAGTACCTTTTGTTAGGAGTCCCCTTCGGCTGGTCTCTTTTCATTATAAGTTTGTCCTTGATCGGCATTCTTCCCCCTTTAAATCCACCTCCTACTGGTATCATTTTTCAAGAGTCCCCTTCGTTTAGTATCTTTTCTTTGTAAGTCCGCCTTCAATCGGCGTTCTATTCAGAGTTAATGTATATTTGTATCCCTAGTAAGTTCGCCTTCGATTGGCATCCCTTCATTAGAGCCTTCTTCGATCGGTCTCTTTCTCGTGTATGTCTAACCATGACCTGACATCCAAGAGATTTACCCAAATGACTACTGCAATCCAAAAAAAAAGCAAAAAATAATAAAAAATAAAGAAAGCCAAAAATATAATAATACTTGATTGGCTTCGGAGTGCAAATTTTTGGGTTCTTTTAGTATTTAATATTCTTCACCCTTGAAAGTTCGAAAGGTTGGCACCAATCTCACCTCCAGGTTTAAGACAATTAAATAGGGGAAGTTGTTGCACCTTAAAATTTGGCATTCTAATTTATTGTTATCTGGCTTAGAACTACATTCACATCTTTTCATTAGGTCATCTGCACTAACATAGCATACATTTCATTGAATAAAGCACATGGGTTCAATAGAATCAGTGGCTCTGAAGCTAGGTTTTTTACAGTGTATTGAGGTGTATATGTATCAAATGAGGGTGATTCACCTGGTTGTTTTTCTGTGCATTAAACTCTGAGGAATCAGAATTTTAAGTATGGTTATCATGAGTTTCTCCTCCATCCAACTACGAGGTTATTCTTTTCTGAAATTCATCAAGGTTTGGGATAAGGGGTTATTTCTCTGCATTTCTTAGCAAATCAGGATCTCATTCTTTATGTGTGAGCATCTGAGTTAATCTAAGATCATGAGATTAGGATTTTTTTTTTCATCAAAGGATTTTCTCACAGAGCATTATGTTGTGTCAAGATATCTTCTTATGTGTATAAAAAATTATCTTCTTCAAGGGAATTCCTTGAGGACTTTATCCTTGTGTTTTCAAGTGGACATGTTTGTGGTTTGGATTACAAAAGCAAGAAGCACAATACAAGATATGATGGGAGGGAGCATTAAGTGATTTGGAAGCATATAAATAAAGGCTTTGATTTTTAGCAAAGGAAATATGGAAAAGTCCGTTTCTTGACTAAGTTCATGCGTGAATATGCTTCATTGGATTGAATCCTATGTCATGTCATAAGTTCAAGACTTATTCATTGAATATGCAAGTTGGTTGGAATTCATTCATTAAGTCTTGAAGTAAAATGTTGTGAGGATAATCAAATTGAATTAAGAACTTTAAGCATTGGTTTGTTTTCAAGAGTTTGATTCAAGCAAGATTGAAAACCTAAAAAATGTTTTGAAGAGCGTCTTATTTAAATTCACAAAAAGTCATTCTTAATGCCATTTTCATGAAGCTTCAAGAGATACAAAACTATTTCCATTACAAGGTCTCAAAAGCCATGACCAATACAAGGGTACATCACATATCCATTACAACTGTACTTTTGAGTTTACGAGACCATTTCACATAAAAAATAACAAACAAAATAAATCTGTCCTAATATTCATGCCCGTAGTATGTTTCCAACCTCATCTTTCCAAAATTCCCTGTGTTTGAAAGCCAATCTCAGTTTGTACATGTTCCGTAATAAAACTTCAAAACCCGCAACTTGTTTCAGAAAAAACAATGATCAGTTCAACCATTAAAGCCAGCCCTGAAATGCAAATTATGTCAAAAAAATTCATTAACACTCGTAATTCTGCTGTTGGAATCACAGACATATCCAAGCTAATTGCAAGCCTACCTCAGATCAGTACTAGGCTTGCCGTTGGAACATACCGCCGCCTTCATGCTATCATTTCATATCTAAAACCTATTATGCCCTGCAACATCACAAAATACCAGCCCTACACTCAAGCAAACTAAACTAATTCCCTGCTTAAAATCAAAAGCAAAAACTCAGAACAGAAAATATAAAAGAGGATTGAAGATTAAATCAGGAAACATCAGAAAAAACCACATGCTAATTCGTTTGAGAAATCAGAAAAGTCAAAAGCATAATTATTGGAGGAATAAAAAAGGAAACCATGGGAATTCATGAACTCAGAAAAACCAATGAACCAACAAACTATTCCTCTTTGCATTAAACTAGTCAATTAATTTTACTCAAATTGAACCAAAGGCCAGCTCTTTCTAACAACTTCGGCTAACATTCATAACATAATTTCACGGTATATAACAAACTGCGACTAGCTTCTAACTTGCTAACCGTTTCTAACTAACAGTCAACAACAATTAACTTCTAAACAAAAATTCTCTAACCAACCTTTAAACAGTTATAACTAACTTTCAACTAATTTTCTAACCATCTAATAGAATTACGTAACATAGTACATACCTTGAATGTATCATTGTTGCATTCTCTGAATAATCCCAGAACAAAACTCTCTCATCTTCTCTCTGCTTTCTTCTTCAACCTTCCACAATTCTTCACAATATGCAGAATCACAAAAAACTCTCTCTTCTACGCATCTTCATCATCAACATTGTGAACACCATCACACTTCTGCAATCTTCTTCTCAACATAATTCCTCCTCAATTCAACAATTATCACCTTCATCTCATGACATCAATAACAACTTCACAAATCTTGAATCGTCTTCAATCATCTTCTTTTGTTTTCCATTATCTTGCACGACCTCTTCTACACAGAGCAACCTAACCTCATTGATCTACATCATCAATTTCGTAACGATTACTCAATAGTATCTTCAACATCAAATATTTCGGTAGGAATCAGGAGAATAAGAAGAGCGATATAAGAGAATAAAACAGAAGTAAAATTAGAGAAAAGAAGAAGAATAATTCGTACATGATTCTATTTTCTCTCCGGTTTCTTTTGCGATTCGCGTCGAATGTGTTTCAACAATGACTGAGACAGATTAGCAAAGAAATCCACCATGTTGTATGGATGATTATATTGAGAAGGAGGCGATAAAATTTAGGGGGAACAAAGATTGAATAGAGCTGTCGCATATTGTTGAGAACGAAGCGAACGGTACTCGACGAAGAAGACGAAGTCGCCGCCGTGTATTCAGAGAAAACATTATCACGTTTGAGAAAGAAGAAGCTGAGACAAACGGATCGTCAATATTGAGCGGCGGCGATGACGTATTTTGTTTACTGGAGAAGAGTGTCATCGTGTAGAGCTTGTAGAAGAAGACCACGATCGAAGAAGAAGTTTGAACCTCACCCATTTTAACTTTAACATGTATCCAAACGACAATGTTTCAATCCCTCTCTCAATTTCTTTGTTTATTATTTTCTTATTTTTTTATTAATCGGAAAAGGATTTAAAAAATGAAAACCGTGACATTGTTTAAGGGTATGTGGGCTTAAGTGCTGGGATTTCTGATTACACCAGCCTCCTGATTCATGCACCATCTTTAATTCTCGTTTTGTTCTTTAATCTTTTGCAATTAATTTTTAATGATTCTTTCATGATTTTGTGCTAATTTTTGTGTGGATGATGATATATTAGTCCCTGACCTAGACATAATTTTTCCATCATTTTTTTATTAGTTTAGAAATTAATTGGATTAAATGTCGAATTATGGTTAAAAGAATGTTTTTGTGATGTTCTTGCCATTTCTCTTTGTTTTGATCAAATTCCTGGCATGATGATTGATTGAATGGTTGGTTCTGAACTTTAGGTGCCTGATTAAATAATTTCTTTTGGTCATGTTCATGAAATGAAAAGACTAATAAACTTGATAAAAATAGGCTTTATGTTTCATTGGATGTTCATGCGATTTGCTAGCTTTGTGAAAGAATGTTAATACAACGTTGCTGATGTGGAATACTTGGATGATCACTTTTGCGAAGCTTCTGTAGAGTTTTCTTATTGCTTACGTGGCTTTGAAAAGGCAACCGACCTTCTCTGTTAAATTTTGCAAAGATTGTCGGGTTTCTTTGTTTTGATACGCTTTGTCACGAATTGGTATTCGTTTGGTATTTTCTCTTGTTTATCTCATTTCACACTTTATCGCTTTTCTAGATATCATGAGAAGTAGGAACTTTACTGCTTTCTAGATATCATGAGAAGTAGGAAATAAAGAGCGTGCACTCGAAGTTGCTGTTTAAAGTCGTGTAGCAGGAACCGCTTTCTGTATGCTATTTGTGTTTGTTTAAAATCCTACCTTTGAAGTAGGTATTCCGCACGTGTGTTTACATTTTTGCCCATAATATATTATAGATGATAAGTCCTAAAAATGAGGCAAGCGGGGAGGGTTCGCAATTGACCCCCGCACATTCTAGTCTGTGTCATCCTTAACTCACGTTGTACGTCGATGCTTTGGAGTTATGCAAATCATATGTATCAAGTCGGTCATGTGGAGAAGGGTTCACAACCAACCCTCACACTTTGTCAGGAGTTCGCAATGGCCATTGCTGATACTCCGCTACCCGCTTGTTTGCTTCAAATGATACACCCCCCTTAGCTAAAGCATTGCTTTTCTTTTTTATTTCATCCGTATCCCGCTTATTTACTTCAGGTGATACACTTCCCTTAGCTAAAGCATTTCTCTTGTTCCCTCATCCCTTTGAGTTAGTATGTGCTACTTATGTTTGTGTGCTTTTGCCAAAACACTTGTTTGCTTATTTGTATGCTATGCCATGCTCCTTTAGGATCACTCGATTGGAGTAGCTTTCGAGCTAGACATTGGGATAGGTATCCATGCATCCTAACATAGGGTAGAGATTTCCCTTTCAAAATGCAACCTTAGGGTCCATCATTGTATGATAACATTAGGGATAGATTTAGGTTAGTATCCCTTATATGTTTTTATTTCTCTTACTTCCTTGCATTAAGACTAAAACTCTTTTTCTTAAAAAATGTATAAAACATCTAGCAACTTTCAAATCCTTCTTTAAGGTAAAAGATATCAACCAATACAAACTTTTTGCGCATTCGGGATTTTCTTTCAAACTTTTTCAAAAGAACATGTTAATTCACTTTTGTGATGACGCGTAAGTCTCCAAAGGTCGAGCTGCGGAAGAAGGGGATATTAATATTATTCATTAAAAAATATAAACCAACAGAAAACTTTGAGTTGAACTACGGCTGCTCTGATTCCTAAAAAGGGATACGTAGGAATTGGAGTAGGGCCCGAACAAGCATAACTTTATTTTCCCTACATTATTTTCTCTTTTCTTTTGCATGCACTCCCTGTACAATTTAGATATAGATTCTTAAAGACCCTTTGATTAGAATAATAAGAGTGGATACCATAGATTAGTACGAGTGTGTAGGGTGCTAATACCTTCCCCTCGCGTAACATACTCCCTTACCTGTATCTCTTGGTCGTTCGAACTTGATTTCACCCTTCTCAGGTTTACTCGATGTTTACCTTTCCCTCCCTGTGAGATAAAAAAACGTTTGACGACGACTTCATTGATTTCATCTCGATGATTTGTCCAGCCAGTTGTTTCACTTGTCCACACCTCCCTTAAGCTTATATTCTCCAAAACCTACAAGACAAGTGGTTCTTGGCTTAGAAGCTGAATGTCCTTACAATGTCTCTAATAATGTCTTACTAACAGCTGAAAACCAACCCTCTTGCTCTGGTGTAAAATTTGCTATGGATGCTGAAAAGGAAATTTATGGGATAAAGCAAACTCTTGAGAAGATGCGAGAATTCAATCAAATAATTCAAGAGCGTCTGAAAAGTCAGGAGAAGATGAGTCTAGATCGAGCAACTTTATTCAATCAAATGGATGAGATGTTGAAGAAGTTCATGGAGAAGTTTGACAAAGAACCTTAAGATTAGACCACATATTATAATCTAGATTTTGTTCCACTGTGTTTCTAAAACATTTAGATTTCTAAATCCTTGTGATTAATATAGTTTATATAACTATTTGGTATCTTTAATGTTTATCTTTCTATCTTAATATCTTAATCTCCGATTTTATGTACTTCTTTTCTTCAACCAAATGAATTATATTTCACATGTTATATATCTTCTCATTTTTAATTTTTTATCTATCTTTATTACCTTCTAATTTTACAATTAATCTGTGTGATTTATATTCTCTCTATCACTTATTTCCTTCAACTACTACTTTAGTATTTTTCTATCCCTCTATCACCTTTTTGATTTCTGACAAAGGTGGAGAAAGCAAAATGATTTTGATAATGTATATTCTCAGAGTATGAAACTCAAACATATAAAATGATGTTGCTACTAACTGTTTGTTTGATGTTTTCAATCCAGGAAGTTTAAACAAGTTCACCAGGTATTCTAAGACAAGTTGAAGAAGAAGATCCCGATGCAAAGGTTGAAACCTTAATCAACTCTGATTTTATACAGAAGATGCAGTACACTTTGTGAATATATGAATATTCAAGCAGATATACCAAACACAATTCAGAAGTTATAAACTTACTTAAAGTAAGACAATCTTGCTTGATATCATAGTGTTCAGAAGTTGTTAACTTTATAAAAGTATGAAATTTGACTTAAAGCTCAGAAGCCATTCTCTCCTCAAAGGAAGACAAGTCAATATTATGATGCATGCTCTCATACAAAGATGGCACTCAGAATTCGTACTCTGATACATTTGCTTCATCAAAGTAAGCTCTATTCAGAAGTTGTAAACTGTCTGAATGTCTGAAACAGTGGAATATATTAGATCAAATGCTGATTCTTGAGAAGTATAGTGTTTTGGTTGTGATATTAGAATCATGGAACAAAAGCACTGATACATGATGTGTGGCAATATTCAATCAGGCTCAAATCAAGATTTTAATTCTTCATCAAGTGTTGATAGAAACAAGTTCTGAGATGAAGACCAAGTGTTCTAGTCAGACTCTGATGAGTTGCTGTAGGGAAGTGTTACTTCTCTATTCTATGTTCTCAATACTCAAAATTTATTTTATGAGTCTTGGGCTCAGAGGGAGACTATGAACAATCTTAAATGAATTTTTGGGTTTCATAAATTCAGGGAAAGCTGTGAGCTTAACTCTGAATTTGTCGGTTATGCTGATTACCCTATATAAATTGTTCTATCAAAATACATGGTTTTGTCATCATCAAAAACGAGGCGATTGTAAGAATAAGAAGTGTTTCTAGATTTGGCCTTGAGATTTTGATGATAACTTGACATGTCATCTTAGAGAATAATTTTATACACTAATGATTTCGTCTAGTGTGTAGTTGCTGCTATAATGTTCTGACTCTGGTACAAGGTGTGTGACATCATCAGGTTCAGAACATACACTCTAGAAGAAAACATGTGGTTACATGTTTCATTGAAGTTAAGGTTCTGAACTGATCTTCTACAACGTGTCTAAGGAACGTTAGTACAAGCAGTTCTGATCGTGACTTTGAGGTTAAGCTTTGGAGGCCTTCTAAAGCTTTACTTTTATGTTACTAGTTCTAAAGATTATGGAGAATATGTTCTACTGAAAAAGTTCTGATGATCTTAAGAAAAGCAAGTTCATACAACCAAGTGCTGAAGACTCTGAAGACAAGGTTCTTTGTGACAAGTTCTGAAGACTTCAAGACTTAGGTTTTAAGGCTTAAGAAAGATTCTTCTACAACAAGCTTCAACATTCAACATTCAAATATCTGAAGCATCTGAAGATAAGAAGAAAAGTTCAAATGGTTAACGTATGATGTTGTGCAAAAGGTACATAAAGTGTCTGTGACCTCTACTCTCTAGGGGGCTTAAGGACAATCTTTTATATTATATTGACAACCACTCTCATTGTGTTTGTTAGGAACAAACAACTTGATTTACAACTATCTTTCTTTACTTAACGGATCTCTGTTTACAAGATTAATATAAAAAATATTATTCATAGAAAAAGGTGGAAAGCTATATTTGAACAGTGCAAGATACATAAATATTATTTTATACTGTCTAAACTCTTACACCTTATTCTATCAGTTGGGAACTAACCATTAGTGTAAGAAAAGTCCTTTCTATCATCACAATGTCTATCTCTGTCCAAGGCTATAAATGAAGATTGAAGATTCAAAGAAAAGTTGTCATTTTCCATTGGCCATCAAGCTTCATCCTGTGAAAGGAAAGCAGTGGATGCTGAAGATGTTAAAGTTGCAATGCTACACATTCTGAAGACCACTAAAAGAAGAGAGAAAATAAATAAAGAACATTTCAAAAAGATGCCATTCAACTATCATCATATGCATCTTGGAGGAAACAAAAGAAGCAAGGAGTTGTTGCTCGTAGC